TATCAATACGACACAAAAAAACCATTTTAAAACCAATATCAGCTCCGAATCATTAAATTAAAAACATTTATCATTAACCTAACTAAACTGATTCCTGTACTTTTTGAAATAATCGGAAAAACAAAACTGGATTTATTACCTACGACAAGTTTTTGGCAAAAACAAATTTCTTTTTCTTGCTTAAAACTAAATAACCACATACTTAATAATATTAAGTTAATAYTGTTGGTACCTACTTTATAGTTTCATCAAATATTTGTTTAAGCTTTTTCCATACATGATATAATTTTTAAACTATTTGGGCATTTTGGAAGCTTTTTATAGACATTTTAAGCCGTAAAATGTTTAATATTTTTTCGATTTACATGTTGTTACAATTTGTGGTATATAWAGTTAAAAAATTAATTTACGTCATGAAACTACGTAAATTATTTTGTAATTGAAAATTCACAAAATKTTTAATTTGTATACCTACGCTTAAAAATATCATACGAGATTTTTGTTAAGATTTTCTTTCTTTATTTTATAATGATATCAACATTATGTAATAGACTATTAATAATTGTATATAATAGCTACCTACTTAAACGAAAAATTTAGATTTTTCAAAATCTAAAAAAAAATGTTATTACATTTTTCATTAAATTATATTAAATTTCTATAAAAACGATTTGATTTTATTCCAATTGAAATAAAATATCATGTATGATAAATTTTTTATACATACATTTATTTATATTATTTTTTTAGGCTATCGTGTTAATATCAGCTATTGCAGTGTGTTTCATACGCGCTGAAAATATATCACTGAAAAAACGAATTTTCAAATGCAAACCCACCCCGTTTAAAAAACATCATTCTATATTCGAGAGTATTATTCCATCAATTGTGGTCTCTCCGGTCGATTCTGCTGATGTTCCCGGCGAGTATAACGTCCCCGCTGGAGTAACTACACTTAGTACAGATCCGGTCCCGGCTCCTACCGTAGTACCCGCGGAACCGCAACAAGAAGAGCAGAACCCACCGCCGCAAGAAGTTCAGTATCCACCACAACCGGAAGTCCAACACCCCGTGCAGCAGCATGAGGTACAGASCCTCGCTGCGCCACAACAGGAAGTGCAGAATCCGCCAGAGCAACGACCGCTGTATCCACCGCAACACGAGGGCCAGCAACACTATATAGAACAAAACCCATCATTTTCAAACGATGGACCATATTATCTACCACAAAGCCAGGGGATGTATTATTCGCCGCCAATCTACCAGGGTTTTGCTACCAACAGCGTCCCATATAACTACCCCGTCTATGGACAAAACGTGCTGCGATCGATGCAATCTCTCGACGGCCAAACGTATCCACTTCAACAACGTCCGTACAGAGTAAATATGTTTATTAGAAAACCTGTCCAGTACTACAATAACGGTCCACTCGTGTACGATCAGTACACTGTTCCACAATATAACTATGTACCACAAGCGCCAAGAACAGCTCAAGCCCTCACTGGAGGAAAGGCGAAATCGACTTGATTGCAYTCTACGCTTGCATTACGTCCATTTTCATATTTATCATTATTATTGTTAAAATATTTATTGTAGCTTTAAGTATTATTTTATGCCATGACAGTAAATAATAATGCATGATGTGTTTCAATTATGACCGGGACAATACATTTATTCATTTATTCTACTTGTGGTACTTTATTTATAAAAAAAATACATATTTATTTGTATGATGCACATACAACTGTACCAAATGAATCAGTTTTCATGAGCCGAAATGATTTTTTTGAAATATTAAAGATAAGAATTTAATGTATGTATATTATCTACATACTTTGCTAAATTGATTGTGGGCAAGGTCTAATAAAGATCATTTTTTCGATAAACTCATAAATAATTAYAATAGTGTAAAAAATATATAACATATTATAYTCGTCAGGCCAATTTTTTTTTTTTGGTTAGTTGGTTTTTTTTAAAAATATTTATTAAAATTTACAAACATACCCACCATCGTGTTGATAGGTATATCACATATATTAATTGAGGGTAGATATATTTATGATTAAAATATATTTTAGTAGATATTAAAACTAAAAACTAAGTCTTAGACTCTAATTCTCAACATACATACGATGTATTATAATACATAAACATTTTTTCGTAAAATAAATTGTAATTTTAATGTTATTAAAAGAGCATTTAGCGTAACAAACAAACTACAGACCTCATTTGTTTTTGGTAAGAGTATAAATATTTGATGGGCTTATTATGTTATACTTACATTGTAAAATCAATTAAAATAATGTTCGTTGAAACAAATAATAGGTCTTCACTCTTCAGTTTATGATTGTCTTAAGTTGTTATTAGAATACTAAATCTAAAAAAAGATAAACTGTATAATGTTTAAACACTCATGACAGCCGTTTTGCTGCATGTTCTAAGTTCCTAGTCATATACCTACCTTAATCATTATAGGTAGGTCACTGTAAATTGTCTTTAATAGATGTATTAAATTAAATTTAATGATATATCATTGAATAGAAAAAACAATTCTTAGTGAAGACAACCTATATATTATTACTAAATGGATATTTTCTTATACAATATTTATAATAAATTTATTGTAATTAGTAACTGAATTTAAAAAGATTTTTGCCGAAAACAAGTCTCAAATATTATTATATAGCAATTATTGTAATGTTATTTCTTATAACATTACTATCAGTTGACCTTTTAAGTCAATATCAATACCAACGAACCGTACAACGATGTAAAT